TGATTTTATATCTAATATCTAAATGTTTATGTTTTATATCCAAAGAAACCTTTAGAGGAGGTGTTCATGAATGATTTAGGTTTTTAAGGTATCCCAAAACAGATTTTTTAAATATAAGAAGAAAATATTGCCTGTTAAGACTTTCCTTTGAGATATATAGATTCACAACCGTATTTTAAGAACAAGTTTACAATCTTTATACTATGTTACAGGTTACATTGCCAAAGAAGTATAAAATATTTATCTAATGCTTACTGTGTACCAGGTGCTGGCACAGTAGGAACAGATATGAGATATATATATATATTTTTTTTCATTCTATACACATACAGAATATGATAACATGGTTATCCAAATGGAAGGCTCAGTACAGCTGTATTGCCTTGATACTTAGGGATCATTTGCTACTGCTTCCAGCCAAGGCAGTTAAGTAGCATTCTTCTGAAGAAAAAAGAGCTCCCTTAGAGATTAGTTGCATTTCTGTATTTTAAAATTATACTAAAATACTATAGTACTGCAATGAGAATAAAAAGATAAATTAATGGGTCAGGGTGGGAAACCCAAAAATACACCTTAACCAGCACTCCATCCCCAACTGTCAGCATTTGGAAATACTTCCTTAGAAACTATCTTCTATGCAAATATTTTGTAATGTTGCAACTCCACAGGTAATCTTTGAAGCTTATACAAAAAATTTTATTACTACATAGTTTTTAAAGCCCTCAATTTAAATCTTTATATAAAGGTTCAATGAATTGGCCTGCCACAACCTACTCTTCTGTTGTTACTGACGCTATTTAGCTGTTATCAATAATGGTTTTCTGCATGAAGTGTTTTCTGTATTCCAGATAATTTTCTTAGGAAAGATTGTTAGCAGTGGAATTACTACGTAAGTAAGAGAATGAATATTTTGATGACTCTGGTACAAAATGCCAAACAATCCACCAAAAGGTTTGGACTAATATATATTGCCATGAACGAGGCCTAAAAATATTTATTTCACCTGTATCTTCACCAGAACTGGGCATTGGAAATAACCACTAACTTTTCTTGATTGGTTGTTAGAGCCAGGCACCATACCAAGCATTTCACATGTTACTGCTGTAACTGTAACTCGTTTAGTCCTCACACTAACCCTGTGAGATAGAATTTCCCTTTGATAGATGAAGAAACTCGGGCCAGGCGCGGTGGCTCACGCCTGTAATCCTAGCACTCTGGGAGGCCGAGGCGGGCGGATTGTTTGAGCTCAGGAGTTCGAGACCAGCCTGAGCAAGA